GCATGGTAAATCTCGGGTTGCTTTTAAATGCCAAAGGTGATCTCCTACTTAAAAAGGTTGGAGACCACTGGCATAAATAATTGAAAGTGATAAATGCCCAATTCAGGTGGGAAGTTCATGGGAGCTGGAAGCCTCACATCTTTCCATCACTTTGAAAATCATACTGTTTCACAAATTTGTGTATTTACCCACAGCCCCTAGCAGCATGACTTCATGTTCTTGAAATGACCAGTACAGCAGTTGAGTTTTTCAGGCAAAGGACCCTTTGTTGTCTGTCTTTGAACATTGCTAATTTTTACCCTTGTTTGTTTTCACCAGTTCATTCCCTGCAACCTTCAGGGCTCTATTCTGTAATTGCCTAATGTGAATGTGTGATCAAAGCAAGGTGGCTTGGCCTCCTTTCAGAGGCCATTAGCTGTGCAGAAACTCCCTTTCTGCTGGTGTTGATATTCAGTCTTTGCAGTTCTGAACATTGAACAGTCTGGGAGTGAGACTTCAAATGGGAATCAAGCTCAAGTTTGCTGGGCATTAGCATGGAGCAGTAGCTGAAGGACACTGAGCAGGGCCTCAGCTTTTTTTTTTTTATGGTGCTGTTGTAATTTCTCTCCCCAAAAGAAACAGCCATCTGATTTCCCACAGAGCATGTTGCAAATCTGTCAAGTCAACAAATGTTGATTTAAAACATGGTGAGGATGATCAGGAAAGTGTCTTTCTTTCTCAGCAGAAGAATTGAGGAGATGCCAATCTGCCTTCTCCTCTCCACTATTTTATGAAGATCACAAATGGATGATAAGATTCTGAAACTACAAATCTGACCATTCTCAAAATAAGCCTCTGTTGGATCTAGTTACATAAGTTAAGGGCTATAATAAAAATTTTTTTTTTTTAAAAGAATAGTTTGTTCAATAAAAATTAAAGCCTAAGCAAAGTCTAAATTAATTTGTAATAGTGGAAGCCACATAACATCAACGTTTATGGTAGTTCCTTCTATCCATAGATTCCAAAGTGCTTCCTACTAGTGGAAAAGACTTAATTCTCATTTTACAGGTAGGAGAACCGATGCCCCTGTGACACTACATGGCACACAAAAGGTCAGGTGGTGAGTCACTGTCAGGACTAGAACCCCTGTGTGGCTCCAAGCCTGATGCTGTATTCACTGAACTGTGCTGCTTCATTGATGATCAAAAATATTTTCTTAGTCATAACTTTCAGAGGATTCATGGTACATTGACTCTGATGGAGAAATTCCTGCAATGACAAGAGAAAAATCAAATCATTTCACTGAAGTGGATTCACCAACTTAATAGCAAACATCTGTTGCTGCTGCAAATTAAAAAAGATGTCTACTGAAAACAATGGCAGTATTTTTAGCCCTCTTTCATGAGGCAGGAAGGGGCCATAGTAGCGCACGTACTCTGCATTAATTAAACTGTGGTGACAGTTTGTGCACTCACATCAAGCAAATAGGAAGGAGCCATAAATCTCCTTAGTAAAAATGGAGGCAGGTGAGCCTCAGAGATGATTATTTGTTAGCACACCAGCTAGAACCATTACTGTCCTGCAGATCCAGTGGATTTTGAATGTATATGCACCCTAACTAAAATGTATATTTGTGTTTTTCTTAGATGAAAATACAGGAGATGGTGAATTAGATTTGAGTGGAATTGACGACAGTGAAATAGACAGGGTAAGTTATGATTTGTGTTTTATCTTACTTTTGGCTTTTCTCCTACATTTGTCTCTATTTGGATCTTTAAGGAAGAAATTATGTTTTTCTTCTGTAGCTTGTCCTTTCTCTCTCCAGCTGCTCATCCTGCTGACACTAGGTTACAATGCAGGATAATGGAGGGACAACTGATGCACAAGGCAAATCTGTGAATCTGTTGTACTCCCTGCCTTTTCCCTGCTAGAGATGAAATCTGTAGCAGGTCACTGTTATTGCCATTTCTCACCACGTTAGGAGAATTGTAGTTGTAAATGTATTTTATTTTAAAGAACTTTAAAGTTTTGTTTAGCATTAAATGTATTCTCTAATTCGGGGCTGTGCAATTTGTGGCCTATGGGCCAGTGTGCCCATGAGAGGTTAACTTGCAGCCTGCAGGCTCCTGGTTGGCTGCTGCTGCTCCCCCCACCACCTCTTCTGCTGCAGCCAGGTTCTCTGAGCCCCAGTTTTCACTTCCTGGCCCTGTTCCTGGCGAGTGCACACAGCCTGTGCGGCAGGGGAGCTGCATGCTCCTGGCAGCTCAGAAGTTGGACAGTCCTGCTGAAGATGTTTGAATTGTGATTGTACTCAAAAAAGGGGCTGTACAGTATGGGCTTTGTTTGGGTTTTTTTTTGTCTGTGTGACACTGAGGGCTAAGCCAGGTTAGGGACACCCCTGAGCTAGAAGTTGTGCAAGCAGTGCCTTACTCCCTAAATATAGTAGACAGACAAAGGGTTGCAAAGGAAACAGACTTATTAAGACATATGACTTGCTCAAGGTCACACAGCAGGTCAGTGCCTAGGCCCAGAATTTAGGTCTCCCAATACCCTGGCTAGTGCCTTCTCCAGGAAAACCATGTGAAACCCACAAATAGAGGTGCATTTTGAAAAATAATGCCAGGGCTACCAATTTCTCTTGGGAATGTGGCATCATTGAAAACAATAGGGGTATATTGGGATGTAACTGAGAATGTAATTTGATCTGGAGGGTATTTCTGGTGCCAGATGAGCTGAAAAAGTCCAGTTTGACTTTAGCCCTCAGCCTAAGTTTGTCAGTTTGCCAGGTAAGAAAAATATCTTTTCCCCTTGTAAATGGGATGAACTTGATAGGGAAGTAACAAGGAGGCAGTAAATGCAAAACCCCTCTGTGCCAGTTTTAGAGCTACCCAGCAGAGTAGATCCATAATTTAAACAAAAGCTAGGAGAGAACAAACCCATTTCTTCTACCTGCTAGACTCGGCAGTGAGGTCATCATTTTGATTTTTATGATCTCATATTCATTTCCATGGCAATAGACTCTAATTTTGCAAACCCAAGATTACGCACTCCCTGTAGATTCAAGCAGGATGAATAATTGAGCTATGAAGGAGAGAGTTTTTATTATTATGACTCGCCTTTCATAACAGCAAATAAAACAGAGACAATATTGGCCAGGCAAACTGGTGCTAGGACCAGTTTCTTTTGTCAAGCCTGTTCCAATGTGAAAGATTCCTTCCTGCATCAGTTTGATTTGGTTTGAATTATTTTTCTTACATTTTAGTTTAAAGAATATCTACAGTAGGTAAAACATAATCATGCTACAGTATCAAGCTGTTTCAGTAGCACTTAAAAGCAGCATCATTTACAAGATGTAACATCACTTATATTTAGTTCTCCTAAAAAAAATATAATATATATATATATATTGTGCATGATTTTAATGTTCATGAAAGATAAATGCTCAGCTTCTCTTCACTGTTCTGCCAAAGTTCGTCATTCCAAACCTGCATCATCAAACCGGAGCCTTTGTTCCACAGAGACTAGTTGTGTTAAACCTACGCTAACACTGGTTTGATTTGTGTAATCTGTCTAATTGAAAGCTAGGACAAGGCTCATCACTCATCTTCATTTTGGAATGTCCAGCCCAGATTCCAGGTCTGGTTCATAGCCCCACACAGGTTTAGTGACTTCAGTGCGGCCAAATGGAAATAACTGAGAGCATCATTTGGATATTTGCCTCAGGTGAACCAAAATCTCTAAAGCTGAACAGCTAAAACACTATATAATCATACCAGTTACATACACACAGACAAGGCATTGTACTAATGAATTTCGAAACAGAGCAGAACTCTCTGGCACAGAAACATAGTCAAAACACCCACTTTATTTCTCTGCAAGCCCAGAGCATTTTCTGCTGCGAATACTAGACTAGAACTTGATTAACATACTATCCTATTAATTTCTCTTGGAAGAAATTTTCCTTGACTAATATTGTTTTAAAAATAAGTTCTAATGCAAAATGGTCTTTTGTATTTATTTTTTAAATTGACTCTCCTGTGTGATTTTTTTTTTTTCCAAGTCAATTGCTGAAAGTAGATAAACTTTTTGTTGCCTTTAGTATATACTTAATGAAACAGAAGCTCAGATAAAAGCTGAACTGTGGATGAAAGAAAACGCAGATTATTTGAAGGAACAAAAAGGTAAGTATAGTAACTGAAATTCTCTCTCTGGTCACTGATGCTGCAAAATATAGTCCATGTAATCTTCATGCTGGCTACCTTTATGTCATTTTTCAGAAAAAGAAGCAAGGATAGCAAAAGAGAAGGAGCTTGGGATTTATAAGGAACAAAAGGTATTCAACTTCATGTATTCTAATTGTATTCCACAATACCTGCTTATAAATTCATGTGCAACTCATCACATTTCCTGGTCAAATTCTACTTGGCATACTCTGGGACAAACCAAACAGTGATTCAGTTCTCCACTGTCTTAACAATAGCTTTTTTTTCTTTAACTCATACCTCTAAAATAGTGCTTTTGAATTGCAGTAATATCTTTTGCAATTGATGAATAACATTTTCCTGCCTTAACATTTTTATACAATGAGCAAAATATGTCTCAGTGCTCTGAAAATTCTGTCCTTTTTCAAACATAGAGTACTTAGCTGAATTAACACTTGCTGTCCGAATCAATTACTTTGTTTAAATATTGATCTTAAAATATTCCTGAATTTTAAAAAAGAATCTGTGTATTTGTTTGCAGCTCGCTAAAACCCCAATATTTTTGTATGTTGTTGCAATAATGATTACTGCATCAAGAACAGAACAAATCTCCATTATAGTAATTTGAAGGAGATTTAGTGTTGAACCTTTCATAAAACGTGGTATTTATGTTAACAAGTGGCATGTCCTGTCTCTGGGTTTAGCAGTTTAAAGCAGTCTAATTGGCCATCTATTCACAATGTACAGCATTAATATTTTGTGTAATTGAGCAGGTGACAAGGCAGTCTGTGCATAATCTTCCATACGCAGAAAAATCCACGTTGGTTTTTAGTGTGTGTCCTATATCTTTTTTTTTTTTTAAAACTAGCTAATTAAAAAGACGCAATCTCCCGCCTCTCCCTAGATACTTTCGCAATAAAAAGTGGACCAGACAATGAAACGCTTCTTGATGCTAGAAAGTTTCTCATTCAGCCAACAGTCACACAGGCGTGGCGTTCCATTAATAATTTTCAAAAAGTGAATAGCTTTCTGGCACAGAAGCAGAACCCAACCACCCACGTTTTGGTACTGATGACCAACGATTTTTTTCTCTAACACCACATTGTTTCTCTCGGCTCTAGAGGAGAACATGATTAATATATGCCTGCCGTTTTCCAGGTATCCCTCAACCCATGTAGGTAAACAGAATCACCATTATACATTTAAAAATAAATTTCATGCAGGACAAAATGATTTTGAGAGAAAATGATTTGCAAGAAATAAAGATTATTCCTTTCCGTACCTTTTCTAGATTGATTTTCAGGGTTTTTTTTCACTTGATCAAACATCAGTTATGGGTAGAAGTGTCCCCTGTGTAGCATCTCACTGTTTAGTTCTGCATTGAAGAGTCAAAGTCAAAAACTTAGTTTCAGACTTGGACTTGCAACTTTTTGGCCAAGGCTAGAGCACCTCCAGTTGAGTCCCAGTGATATTGATGTGGCACTTGTCACGTAATTGAAAGCCAGTATTAATACCAGTCCACTGATTGTCAATTCTGATACCGGTGGCCTTTTTCACTAAGGGCATAGCCAGATGTAACACTTTAAAGTGCTTCAAATGTAGCTGCACTTTGACATGCTTCAAAGATGGAGGGCATCAGCCACGGGTAGGTATAGATCCCTTTGCTACACCCCCACAAGTAGAGTTCTTTAAAGTTGCCATGAAGGGATGCAGCATCATAATCTCCATCCAGGGGGTACAACAGGCATTGCTCAGTCTTGCAGACAGTCAGTGGGCACTCTCCTGGTTCTTGAGGCACCTTCTCCTGGAACTGGGAGAACAAAGTCCCTGCATCCCCACCTGAACTGAGACATGAAAGACTGAAAAGCACACAGGGATTCCTGGTCTCCAGCCCTGGTGAGAGCTGAGTGCTCATTGACTGCCTGTCCCATTCTCTGCCCCGCCCCCCATGGAAGGGGGTTATTGTGGAGCACTGTGGGATGCTGGAGGATTGAGCAACCCCCAGTTGTGCTACACCTCATCCTACATATGCAATATGAAGTGCCTCAAAATAAAGTGCTTCAAAGAAGTTGCTGTTTCTTCCAGGGTTTTTCTGGAGTTCTTCATAGGATGTATATATCTGTCCGTTTGCCCTTTGATGCACTTCAAACGTTACATCTATCTAAGGCCCGATAAAGTCCTGGAGGAACTTTTAAATGCAACTCTCTATTTTTATTGCAAACTCTGTAGTAATTCTGAGCCTCATTTCTGCAAGGGGAGGCTCAGAAGATGTAACCCAATATTGCTGTAGTGTTATGTGAATATTTTGTGAGGGATATATATATGTATATATTTGAATATTTACATTTTGGGCAATTTTATTAGGAGTCTGTCTATGATGGGAATAAATCCAACACTGAGTTGAATATAGTTGGGAAAGAGCATATATTTCTCTCTGTAAACAACAGAAACTGATGATTAAATTACACAGAGGAAGTTTAATTAGACCTGTGTTGCATTTGGCAGAGAAACAAAAATGAATACCTTACTCCTTGAAGCAAGTGGGATGAGCTCTGTAAGGACCTGAAACAGCCAAGATCTGTGTTCTACATCTGATTCCCCTAAGGCACTGTAGTACATACCGTCATACCAGGGGTACTAGTACAGAACTGACTCCAAATGGGTCGCTCCAGCTATAGAAGCTTAATATCAGTAGCATCCAGGCCCGAACTGATAAACCCCAGATCATCCTCCTATTTCAGTGAAATGACTTGGTTTGTATCTACATCACTAATTTTATATTTTTAATTAAGCCAAAGAAATCTGCAAAAAAACGGGAGCCAATTCAAGCCAGCACAGCAGGAGAGGCAATTGAAAAGATGTTAGAACAGAAGAAAATTTCAAGTAAAATTAATTATAATGTGCTAAGGGACCTGAACAGCAAAGGAAGTAGCACACCAAAGAAAGAGGATGACAGCACTGATGACAGCAGCAACACCAAGAAGCTGTCAAGAAGAAAATCTATTGCCAGTAGGAATTTAGCCAACTCTGTAAACACTGTGGGAAAAAGGTACCGCAATTGTTCATTTATCTCTCTGTCTGTGAGGCTGTCTGTGCATCAATCTGGGCAGGCAGAGTAGATATTATAACACTTGTTTGAGGCTAAAATAACACAGGAGCTCCGATTTTCTTTATTTAGCGCGCAATGCCGCCATGAAGCCTTATTTGCAGTCCACATACTGGCTGACAGCTCTTGTGTGGATTAATCATCATGGCGTAAAAAAAAATCAAAGAAAATTCACAATTGTGACTCTTTCAGCCAGAGACATCCTTTCTTACTGAGTTTCTGACATTCGTTGTCCTTCCTTTCTAAGTTGTCTGGCTTCATATTCACTGACATGACACTAAATATTCTGAAGCTTTGGCTTCTTGCTTGATTTGAAAAATAGATAGTTCCCATCTGTTATGACAGCTAGCTGTTATGATTAGCTTTTATTTTAGTTTTATTCCAAACTTTTGTTGTTAATTGATGACACAAATATAAAGCTTTACAGTAAATATGCATGTCAATTTTCTGCTGTGCATTTGTGAATATTTTATGGTGTGATGAAAGCTACTATTTTAATGAGTTAAATATTCAAACTTGTTGGACAGATTTATAGAATGCTATAAAAGCGTGCAAAAATGATGTGTGCTTTCCGCAACATTCAGCTGCTTCATTAGACTTCTTCAGTTTTTGAAATCATGTCAGATAATCATTTGAACATGATCGTGTACATGATCTTTTCTTATGTGTTCGTTATAAGTATGGAGCCGAGAACATAGACCTAGATCCGCAAAGGTGTTTAGTCACCCAGCTAACCAAGATCGGGACCTCAATTTTAAGGGCTTGGCCATGTGACATGTTTTCATTGGTCCAACCTGTCCTTACATCCGTGTGGAAACAACAGGGACATGTGATGTATAAGCCTTCATTCATGTACCTTAGTAGAATCTGGTTTGGAGTTGCTTTGGGGAAAAAAATCAGTGGTGAAACCCATGTAGGTATCATGTCTGCTTGTATCCCAGGGTATTTATTTATTTGCTCAATGCAAATAGACTCTTGCTGCGTACCCTGCTGCCTAGTGGCGAGGCAGCTGTTGAAGCAGTTACCCTGAAAGAGCTGGTCATCTATTTGCTCCTGGCTCTGGTGTAATTTAAATTGTTGTACAACACTCATGTGGGCTGTGCTGCTATCAGCATGTCACATGTCCAAGCCCTAAGTTTTGGCACCACATTAAAGTTGCTAACAGACTAGGAGGAAAGGAGAGCAAGGATTATGCATGGAATGACCGAGTGGGTTCAGCGGGTATGATGTAGGTGAGGACGAGTTTGAAAGAGGTGAATTAAAAAAAAAAAGGAATCCTGGATGGTTGTTTGAGCCAAGGGGGCGTGAGGAGGAAGCATTAGGAGGATGGACGGATAAGGAGGTGAGAAGAATGAAGGCAGTCTTGGCAGAGGAGCTGCAATAGTCACATATCACAATGACATGATGGAAAAGGTGGATTCAAGGAGGAGCATGGGTATGGGGGAGGGGAGGCCATTATTCCTCCTGTGTCCTCAACTCCTGCTGTTTTGCCTCATTTTGTTAGAAGAGCAGCCATCACGTGAGGCAGCAACAGCAAATGGCAGATCCTGAAGAGGAGGAGAACCAATTTACCAACCAAACTGGAAAAGGAAGGGGAGGGATAGACGGACCTGAGGGGCGGGGAGGAGAGGTAGCTGGAGGTCTGACTGCAGAGGCAGAGTAACGTGGTCATACTCTGTGTTTAGCTCCTTCATTTGCAACTTCTGGTTCAGAATAAAAGTATAACTAGATCTGCTCATGCATATTCCTTGCTAGTCCTAAAAGAGATTAGCTTTTGTAAAGTATGTTATAATAGCCACCATTTTCTCCCTTGTCTGCTATTTTTCTTTGTTATGGTTATTTACTATGAATGCTCCAGGTTTCTATGACTTTCCTCTATAAAGGTACTTGAAATGTCCTTTATGTCAGCAGACTTACTTCCTCTTCTCCCTTCCTGCCCTTAACTTCAGCGAGGATATCGCTCGACTCATTTAAGTTGCTGATAATAGTGAGATGTAATGACCAAAGAGCTGTAGATTTTCTGTTAGCAAAGTGAAGTGCAAAAAGCATTCAGGATTAACTTTTAGCATTTTGCACACATTGCCCTGAAGATATTTAGTGTTAACAATATTTTAATGAGCCTTAAGCCAGGAACAACATATTTTAATTAAATAATGGTGTGATTTTGTTGTCAGGAATTGACTGCTGATATCAAAATTAGGTGTCTTGTTTAATAGTGGCGTCTTTTTAATGATTTTGGAATTATTGTGTTTTGGAACTGAGCATTTCAAATGATGAGATTTTTGACTACTCTTCTACCTCTCCACCCTTCCTGGGCCCACTTTTCAGAAATGCTGGGCAGTTGTAGCTCCAGGAGAAGGCAGTGTATGCTGCAGGTGCTAAGCACTTTTTGAAAATTATGCTATAAATATTTTAGTAAACCATGTAATAAGATAAAAAGTTGTCTAGGTCAATCTACAACAGTACAGCAGTTTCCAGAATCAGTTGTTAAAACCATGGTTATTTTTCCTTTTGTGTACATGGTCAAGATACAAAACTGAGTTTTTTCTGCTGCTGATGAGAAATTCTCAACTGTGGTTAATTTTGCAGAGTGGGATGGTCTGCTCCGAGTGGGATGGCTATACGTATGTTATGGATAGTTTGCATTCCAAAAGTAATGTCCCTGTTGAAACAATGGTAAGAATCTATTTGGCAGGCAAATAGATTTTTTGATTTCCTACAATTAAAGATTTATGACAGACTTTTGATTTTTTTCTGCATTACTTTAAATGTCATACATCTTATATGGCATGCATAAATTTCTTTGTTCAGCATTGTTCTTACATGCCATGCATAAATTCCTTTGTTCAGCACTGTTCCTCTGAGAGGTGAATGGATAAATACTTTTCCAGAGATACAAAAATCATGGTAATTTATATGCAATTAATAATAATAATAATAAAAACCCTGCACATCTCATTAGAAAATGAATGAATCACATAATATATCTGTATCCAGAAGACATTTGCAGAGATTTTACTATCCATTTATTTGTCAGTGGTTTATACTCCTGTGTGTTTATTTTCAGATCCTTTAAATATATAGAAATCTGGCTTTGACTACATCAGTAACCACTTGCATAACAAGCGCCTGGGATCAGTGTGCCCCAAGCCAGTACTTCAGATATTCTGAGTAATAGTCAAGTCTTAAAGAACTATTGATTCTGTCCCAAGTTCCATCTGAAGAGTATTGAGACCTAACTACTGGGAACTTGACAAACTAGGAATAGAATATTGGTGCTAAGTGACATAACACAGGTCCAGCATAGCTACAGGCCACATACAGACATTCAGTTTCTTGTGGGAGAATTGCTGTACACCCAGTAGAAATTACAAGTATACAGATGTTCGGGATTTTCTCCCAGAGCAAAAATGGCGGCTCCTAGAGAAAAATAACCTGGGAATAACCAGGGTTAAATCACTTCCAGGAGAGTTTTTCCTGTGATAGTGAATGTCTGCATGTTCTCTTCTAAGAGAAACCACAGTACAGTTCTCAAGCATCCCAGGGTGCTTTGTTCCCCCCCACCTTCCCCCTCCTCACTCCTTCTGCATGAGACAGTGTGTCGATTGGGCTGGCTTTTTGCTCCAGCTACATTTTGCTGCAGGGAGATGCAGCCTGTGAGGCATCTTGGGTCAGCCAGTCAGAGCTGCCCTGTGCAGCTCCGCTGCCATCTGTTTCCAGGCAGACTAATAGAGCCTGCAGAGCATGCTGTGATGTGTACACAAGGGTCCTCTGGCTGTGCAGCCTCAATACTGCAAGCTGTCTGTTCTTCAAGGACTCAGCATTCAGATATCTGTTCAGGTGTCTCTGGGTAAGTCCTACCAGGAGAACAAAACTGGGAGAATTATTGTAGATCATTTGAAGGTGCATATGCAGCTACAGTGTATCAGTTTGTCATTATGGAGTTATTCCTTTTGCATTCTTAAAAGAAAGTGTTCTTCACACTATTTAATTTTCAACATGGCTAAGGTCATCATAGTATAGCCAGGGTTATCCTGCTATGCTGTCTGTAATGCCTTTAGAAGAAAGTAGGAGCTATAGCTTGTGCCTTTCTAAATCTCTAACACTGTAAAATGCAATTATTGTAGTTTTAAGCTAAAGGACTTCTGATTTTCTTTAGAATGTGAATCACTCTTAACTGTATTTGTAATTAAGTAATTTTCACATAGGTATAAATCCTGACCATAGACAATATGTTTATAAGCAGACTCGGAAATATGTTTATAAGCAGACTCGGAATAAGGTCTTTTAGGTGGATGCCTTTTAAAACTGTTATATTTTATTTTTACATTACAAAGAATAAGGATTTACAGCTGTAGAAAACATCTCTTCCTGAGGTTGTCACAGTGATAAACAGGGATCTGGGCTTTCCATTCCCCTCAGAAAAATGGAGTAAAACACAGATTTCCCCCTTTACTGGAGGGAAATGCGTATTTCTCGTTTTAGCAGTCAAAGCCGTAGATCTTGCAGTTTTGCAGTGAGCCCTCTGCAGGCTGGCAGAGTTCCAGTCTGCAAGGGCCTGGAAGAGGGCAGTCAGGCAGAGGGCACCATGTGCATGTATATGCACATGGCTGCCAGGCAGCCTGGAGAGCAGCTCCTGCAGGTAAATGTGTGTGGGAGGGAGCAGGGGGGAATTGCATGCAGTGGTGAGGAGCTGGCTCCTGGGCCGAGCCTGCAGCAGCAGGGTTGAGGAGGAGAGTTGGGCTCTGTTCCACTGCAGCAGCCACTGTCTCCTGCTGGAGGCGGGGGGATGCAGGCCCGGGTCTTGGGCCCTATAGGCCTGGCAGCTGGGGGCCCCCTCTGGCAGGGCTGGGCAGAGGGAGAGGCTGTAGGTGAAGGGCAAGGGGCATGAGCAGACCTGGTGGGGCTGTGAGTTGGGAGTGAGGGGCACCAGCGGGGCTGTG